ATGTGCTGCATTGTCGTTCCGTATTGGTTAACCTGCTAGAGAAGAAAGTCAAAAGCTCCCATACACCTTTTGGAAACTGCTCGAGTACCGCTCCATTGGCAATGTCCGAGGCGTCGGTGACAAGACATATTGGTGCTCCTGTTTTTGGATGATGAAGCAAGGTAGCACATGCAATGAGTTGTTTGATGCTGCCGAACGCTTCATTTGCGCCGTCTGTCTAGTTTAGTTGTGATGTTTTTCGGTTGCTAATATTTCTTGAAAAGGCTGAAGAAGCTTCGCACATCCAGGGACAAAGCGGCGATAGAAATTCACAAGCACGAGGAAACCCCGTAGGTCACGCGCTGTTGGGGCGGGGGGTACTTTTTAATAGCTTTACTTTTGAAGAGAGTGGACGGATGCGTTGACGATCGATTTAGTGGCTTAGAGAAGAAACGCTGGACAAACTTAAGTTGTACCTTTCCGTGTTGATCATTAGGCCCTGCTCATCCAATTTTCGTAAGAGACATCGTAAGTGGTCTAGGCGTTTTTCCTCGGTGCGACTCCCTACGAGAATGTCGCCTATGTATGCATATACGAAAGTAATTCGTCTTAGGACTTGGTCGGGAAATCGTTGAAATATCTGCGCAGCGTTCCTCAGGCCAAAAGGCATTCGAAGGAATTCGAAGAGGCCAAACGGTGTTATTACTGCTCTCTTGGGAATGTTCTTGGAAGTCATGGGAATTTGATGGTAAGCACGAACAAGGTCGATGGTGGAAACAATTACCGCTCGGTCGAGAGTTGCTGTTGCACGCGTCGTGTATGTGGGCTACTGGGTATCGGTCGGGTACGGTAGCTTGGTTAAGAGCTCTATGGTCCCCGCAAGGACGCCAGTCACCTGGTGTTGATTTTGGAACCATGTGGAGCGGTGACGCCCACGGGCTACAGGCGGAACGTGTGATGCCCAGCTCCAGCATGTGGTCAAAGGCCTGTTTGGCAATACAGTACTTGTCGGGAGGAAGCCTCCGGGGTTGAACGTGAGCTTGAGGGCCGGTTGTTTCAATATGATGCTGGATGTTATGCTGCAGATTTGTGGTAAACGTGCAAGTACCAACCAGGGATGGAAACTCTTGCAGAACTTTGGCGTATGAAGATTTGGAAACGGAGACGAGTGGAGCAAGTTCGATCGACCGTAGTTTCGTCCGAACTTCAGATACTGCCTGATGTGTTGTGCCATCAAAAAATGACAGCCGCGCACATCGCCAAGGAGGTTGAATTTCTGCAGAAAGTATGCTCCAAGAATGGGTGTCTGTAACAATAAATATTCAACGGAAGATGCGACGCAACCTGAGATTGATAGTGATGGTTCGCAGCCCATATGTACAGATGGTGGTGCCGTTTGCGGCCTTTAGCTTCGAAGCTTTTCGGTTACCACGGTCTTGAGGGGATAATGGTACCACCGAAACTTGAGCACCAATGTCGACGAGGAAACGTGTTTTTGAGTCTATCGATAAGGAAGAAGAGACGTGGACGACTGTGTAACTGGCCAGCATCACTCGTCGTCCCTAGTAGCCGGCTGGAATGTTTCGCTTCTTCTGGCAGGTACATTTGCGTGCGTCAGCGCCAATTGTGCGATAATACCATCAATGTTGCCTGGAATGGCTTTGAGACTGACTAAACCGACGAGTCGGGTAGCGACTTGTCCGTCGGAGAGGAGAACGCGAAGATCGAAGGGCAGAGACCATCTCCGTGACCTGATCTACGCGACTTTGAATGCTGGTGGAAAAATCAACAGGGAGTTTCTTTGGTGTTGTTACTTGGTTGACAACTGAAGGATTTGAAACGTCAATCATTTGATCGGTGAACTTCGCCAAGTCCTTTATGGCTGTCAGCTGATGCCAACATCATGCGGACATCACTTGGAAGACATTGGAGGAATAAATGACGGAATAATGCGTCATCTATTGTGGCGTTAGCAAGCAACTGTTTCATCCGACGGAAAAGCTGTGATGGTGCTTTATCTCCTAACTCCTCGGCAGTAAGCAGCCGCTGAAGTCTTCGTTGCTCCGAGAGGCCTGTACGATGGACGAGCTCGTCCTTAAAGGGGTACTCCGGCGATTTTTGAGCTACCTCAACTAACTATATTTTCTGACTTTACCCTTTCGGGTATGCTATTTAGTATCGTGAAATTCATAATAGTTATTGCGAAATCGGCAAATGAAAATGATGCAAAAACAAACATTCAAATATACCCGCCCTTTTCAGGGCCGTGACGTCAGTGGAAGGCAAGCTTGCCAGTCGGGAGAGCAGTCTAAAAAATAGATTATGCCAATCATTTGTTTCGTGCTGGAGCGCGGGGACTGGAGCGAGCTTCCGAAGCATTCATTTGACACCATGAAACTGCTTCGAATCAGTTGGGAACATATTCTACAGTCCAAAGAGTGAACCACTGCACTTCCACTTACGTCACTTTTTCATTGTTGCCAGTAAAGACTTTCAGTTTGAAAATCACGGTGAGGACCAAAATTGTAAAATCAATAACTTCGTGAAAAAAAATTATTTTGACCTAATATTTGGGATACTATTTTGGCGATGTTGTTTGGCGAGTTTAGCGAAATTTCAAGCAAATCGGGGACCATGAAGAAATCGGCGGAGTACCCCTTTAAGGACATCGTAAGGGGTCACTGGAGGAGGAGCGATGATGATATCGCGGACCTCAGCTGCATCTGTGGATGATAGTGCGCTCATCACATGATAGAAGTTTGTGTTCTGGTCGGTGATTCGCCTTAATACTAACTGGAATTCCACCTGAGTAAACCATAATTGGGGATCTGCCGGCCAGAATGGTGGCAGTCGGATTGGGAGAACTGCAACCTGCGGTGGATCGACAGGGGCAGGTACATTTGTTGCCACCTCGATGCGTCTGGTTGCGATGTTCCTCGTCCGGGTCATCACTTGTAACGAGCCGTACGGTGCTTTATATGCTATCTATTTACATTATTTACACGTTGGTTCTATAGACTGTTGAAGTACGATATGGCTGCCCTGCTGATCACTTGAACAGAAGTGCTCGAACCATTTTGGCGTTTTCTTCTTCATCCGCTGCCGTGGCTTATACGTGTTCGCCACATGTTGATCGCCTTTGACTGAAAAAAAACCTATAAAAAGTGCTCGCTTTGCAACCTTTTCTTTAAAAGCCGCAACTTGATTATACAGGGTGTTTTGCCGAATAACTCGCATACTGCAATATGCCGTTGCTGTGCGTGGGAATCTCTCTTTCTTTAGAATGGCTTTGTAGAGTGTCTCTGTAGTCTTGTGGTACATTCTGCCATGTCCTTTACGTGTACTTTGCCTGTCGGGCAAGACACGCTTCTAGGGTCATTTGTAAATTCGCAGTAGCGTAGTATGACCATAGTTATGCCATACAACTATTTTTGGCAACTGTTGCATCTCATAAAATACACCCGTTTCATGTCCTTTAACCCATGTGAGATGCACTCTTTCCACGTGCAGAACTTGCAATCAGCTTGCAGTTGGTTAAACACAGAAATATGATTTTAGTTTTTTTTTTTTTCATAAAGGGAACTGACAGATATTTAAAATTAGGTGAAGTACAATTTGTGTCATTTAGTGGGTGTAATGATAAAGCATCAGTTTACGGATGATTCGGACCGTCTAGACAATGCTCAAAACGTTCGCGAGGACCACCATGCTTACAAGTTGCCAGTGGGAGGTGCCCTTAGTGTATTTGTATAAGAAGTATCATGTATGCTTCAGGAGGGATACGTGCAATATAGCAAAAAAAAAACGAAAAAAAGGTGTGTTGAACTTAAGCTAAACAAATATATAAGAAGGACTTGGTACGACAAAAGTGAAACACTTCTCAAAATATTTGGTAACTGGAAATTGCCCGAATACAGTTTGCCTGAATGCCTCATCGCTGGATGTTTTTTTTTTCTTTTTTTAGTAATAATATTTCTTTTATAGGTGAAGTTGAGAAAAACCTTACAGGGTCTTTAGGCTGGTAGGACGAATTAGAAAGAAGCTTCCTAAATAAACATCAAAGTTAACCCGGTGATGTCTATCTCAAATTCCTGGCACCTTCAGGTTGCGTTGAAAATGCTCAAGTCTATCACCAAAACATAATCCATTTTAAAATGTTCAGAAATGTTGTTTTTATGCTCTTTTAGTGAACATGTTCGACTGCTGTAGAAACATTGTGGTACAGATTATTGTGGCACAGAGACACATGAGAAACGTTGTCAACAAAGCATATAGCTATATTTACCTTCGTGGTCAAAATGCGTTGCTCAGAAAGTTTACGAAGAGCCGCTCATAAAAACAGAGTACTTACAAAATCGTTACAATATGAATTTATTTTACATATTCCACGGTCGCGAGTCGTAGTGTCTAAATATCTGTAGTTGCACTTTTCAACTGTGCGAAAACAATAGTCATTTGCAGTCCTCTTATTAAAGTGAGTCATCAATGGTGGGCCGTACTTAGAAAATGCTCGTGCCCATTTAAATATACGGCAGCTTTCCACTATTGAAATTCTATGAACTCTTACAAAAATTCTATTAATTACCGAAATATGTCGTCCACGATTTGTAAGCTTGCAATTCACTTCGTCGCACAAAATTTGTTGAGACTGTCTTCATTCGCAGAAAAAAAATACTCCTTCAAATTCAGAAAAAAAGTATTAAAATAACATAGCTCGTTAAACAATTTAGTGCCTGGCAGTAGAAAATACATCACTGTACAGCAACTTGCTAGTGTTGGCGCAGCAGCGCACACTGGTGTCCTTGAAGTGTCAACACTGTACAAACTAACCATGTAGATTCTTGAGATCATTCGAAAAGTCATCAGCGTTTGATCACTCAACGTCGCATATGTACACGAACGCACATTCGGTGTTGAAGTTGACTCCGTCCTTGTAACAAGGGTTCTTCTTTTGATTATCTTGTACCAACAAGGCAGGGGAGGACCTGCGCTGATATGAAATTGAGGCCCCTCGGTGCTTTTTATTGGACAGAAGCGTAGAGATTGTGCCTCTGAAGAGACGATCGGTACTTGATTTCTGTTGCGCAAAGAGAGCAGAGTAAAGCGAATTAGAAAAACAAAAGATAAAAGAGAAAGCGACTTGAAATCCCCTTTGCAACGATATTGAACACACTCAAATCTGCCATGACAGATTGGGAAATCGCCCCGAAACCAGACTTGCATAAAAAATTTGCCCGATTTCACCACTCACTTTAATTGACATAAACATACATGAAGGAGATAAAGCACTCGTGAAAATCAGATTCGATAGTTAAGGCAGCAATTCAGATTACCCAATCAATTTCCGGTACACAAGATATTCAAACTTTGCCGGTGAATTTTACCATTATACATGCAGGCTCAGATATGAATAATAAATTCCGGCCATACCTTATAGAGAGAATGTATGACTTTGATTATGATATACTCCAATGCGTCTCTCAAATCAGTAGCTTCTATCAAGTGGACTGGAGATGAAACAGCTAGCGTTTCCTAAATTTCGTGTTTTTTCTATGTGTCTGGTCAGTTACATATGAAATTCGATATACGTGTGGTGCTCTCATTATATTTGTACTAAAGGGTTATACATAAAACATCAATTTATGGCATAATAATGCCGTGAGTATACAGCAAATGCAAAATTAGAATGACAAAATTAGAATGACTTGGAGGTTGTTACCATAGCTTCTCTTCTTACTTGTTACCAATAGATCTGAACAATCTTGAAAACCCACAAAAGGAGAAAGGGGGCGAGAAATCGCTGAGTAGCACCTGTTTTAGTTCATTTCTAACCTTCGTATATTTCGTCAGAAGTTTTCAACTTTCCAAGTTAGCAAGTATGAACCGACTAGCTCAACGAAATGCAATACCTTATGTGAAAGCTAGAGAATTCAGAGCATTTTTTTGTTTCCAAACAAGGAAATATAGCCAGCACACTCACCCTGTTCCAACCGTTCCAGATCTCGGTCACATTCTGTGTCGGACATTTCATTAAACTCTGGCATGGTCCCTCCAGACGGAGGCATGTGAAATGCACTCGTATGAATATCCCTTTCTTGTAGGCACCACCTGGAATCACACGCGGTGCAGGTGCATGTTCACGCGTCGAGAGAGCACGCTTTATTTCACATGAATGTAACGGCCAAATGTTGGCAGATCTTTGCCTGATGCACAGATAATCAGTTTAACCGCACGAGCTAGTAGCTCCCTGATCCATGTTGTGACATTTCAAGTAAATATGAAGAGGAATTGTCTCAGTTTTGCAAACTTCACAAACGTAGGGTCACATGGTGCACGTGATCAATTCAGGCTCAGAGGGGTACCCTTTGATGTCTCTTTTAGGTTAAGCTCTAAATGCACTGATGGTTGGAAGATAATATTTTATGAAAACAAAAGAAACAAAAAGTGAACGAGCACACACGCTTGACTTCTTTATTTTTTACTAAAACGTGTCCACTCGTTAGGCTGCATTTACCAATCCGACCGACAAAAGACGAGTTAATAAATTAATTGTCGTCTCATCCCAACTATTTGTATTGGCTCAACTAATTTTATTTATTTCCTAACCTTATCGAGAACGTTTCAACAAATAATCACAGCATTCGGCTACCAGAAATACTTTTTCAGGGTTCAGTCAACCATCTATTATATGAAGCATTGCACACAAAAAATGGCCACGGATCAATAAATTAGTAACATGAAATTATTGCAAAATTACATAAGTGAAACAAAACTTTAAGTCAAAAGGAGGACCACAAAACTTGAAAATGATAAGCCAATATTTGTGTTATTTCAACAATTTAATAATACGAAGGCATTAACTATCCCCTGGAGCGGAGCCAGCGGCGTCCGTAATCGCGAAAAAAACGCAAAAGATATGCCCATTCTCCCATTGGCTGAGCGAAACGGCTCCTAGATAGCAATTGGCGGCCGCTTTACGAGAGTGCGCCCTCGGCCGCCGCTCTCGCGTCGGGCGTTGCCGGGGGGACGCACGTCTAGCGCGCAGGCGATAGACCCCCTAGCAACGACGCGCACCCCGGATCGGCTGCTCGGCAAAGCGCGGGAACTTCAATTTCGGATTCGGACGGTGCATGTATCACTCGGAAGCGCGTAACACCCCCGCCCCCCCCCCCCCCCCCCCCCAACCCGTCTGCAGTCAAGTCGCTTCGCGGCGACAGCATGCGGCTGCTAATGACAAAGCTATTAACACACTTAGCCTCACCCGTACGCGCCGCTTCGCGGCGTCCAGCTGGCAACCGGCCCGCTGCCCCCCATACACCCCCGGAAATCCCACACCATTTAATTTAGCGAAGTTTCGTCGACAACATTAGGTTTTTTTTAGTGCTATTCGTAAAAATGAAATGTCGTAAATATTGCCAAACGCATCGACACAGCAAAATGTTTGAGAAAAAAAAAAGAAGAGGTAAGCCGACATTGTGGATCAAACCTGCGTCCCCTTCTTATGAGGCAGACATCTTACCACTACGCTACGCCTACCGCTTCGGAACCTTGTTGTAAGCGCTGCTTTTGTTGTAAGCGCTGCCTGACACGATAGCGTCACTATCGTGTCAGGTGTTGCCGGAGGGGGCTGTCGAGGGACATAGCGGCGACTGAGGTCGGTGGCCGCAACCTCGGCAGTAGTGAAACGTGGCCGTCCACGCCAGTACACCGCGAACTAAGGGAGCGGAATAACGACATTCATGCTTTCGCATTCGCAACTCATAATAAGTGATTAGATGGCCTCGGAATTTTTAAATTTTAATCACTGCCGTCGTTTGTTAATTATTCAGGAAAACTCTTGTAGGAATTTTCTTTTTGTTTGTCCGTCATTATAAATAAAATTTGACACAGATTTTTGGCTTCATGGGAATTTTTTTGTTTTTTATATTAAAAACGCCATTTTTTAAACACAGTTCAACACTCCATGACATTATAAATGAATCAATGTGATGTCTTATTAAAAGATTTGACCATCTTAGAATTTTGATTGGTTCAGGACATATTATAAAAAATCATCTACTAAAAACTGTTATAATAAAGCTACAATGTGCAAAGTAGTATTTATGGCAAATAAATTTTTCGTTTAAAAATTAATAAAATTGAAACGATCATTATCCAACCAGATGCTACGATTATGTCGTGTATATAGATCATAAGAGCGAAATGAGAGCTTCAGTTATTGAAAAACGAAAGTATCGCCAATTTAATTAAATTTGTTAGACAACACTGTAAAAACCGCCATGACGCAAGGCACATTCCAACAAAAAAAAATTGTGAAACTTGCACTGAAACGATCAATTCCTCACTTTATATGAGGTCCCCAAACACAAATGATTTGTTATAGTTTTAATACAAATATAGCGTTTCACCTTACGATGGACCGCCTTTGAAACTACGAGCAGTCGGAGCCAACCCAATGCCACGTTAGTGTCACGTGACCTTCGGCAGGGCCCAGCGGAGAGCTCGTAGCGTCAGATGTAGTCTGTCGTAAAAAGGAAACTGGGCATCTGAATATAGACTGGGAATGATTTTTCGGAAGATGGTACTCTGGTTCTGTATTATTTCAACGGAATAAAAGTTCCCTCGAGGCAAGTAGGAAGACCCTCAAGAGAATACTTCTGAAAGCCTTAGCGTACCGCTGCCTTTTCAGTTAAAACAAATTTCGCGTCTTCAGGTGTTGAAGAAGCCGAGCCCCTTGGTGAAACTATGGCACCTGGGAGGCGTTCTTAATTGGAGTGTTTGAGATGTCCCCAAAAGTGGCCCCTCCATTTTCGTCTGATGAGATAACAGAAGTGTGATGATGGTGCTGTCTGCCTCTATCCTTGCGGTTGGAGAGCAGCGGAGGCGGACGAGGCAGACGCCTGCTTAGATGCATGTCGCGCTGCAGCATAAAGTTCACGGAAGTGTGAGCAGGGGAGAATGGGGACGCTGCAACGACAGCGACGCTCGTGTTTGCTCACACTTTTTGCTGCAACTTCCAGCACCAACCGCCTGGATGGAGACATCCAACATCAAAACATGCCGGCTTCCTTAACCTCACATATTGCCACTTCGGGACCATTTCCAATGCCTAGGTAATATGGGACGCTAAACACACCAGTCCAGGACGTGTTCCAGGCGACATAGTGAAACATCGACTGACATCTGGAAACCTCCAGAAACTTATTTGTCAGCCGATGTGACGAGTGCAAACCGAAGCACACTGAAGCCGAAGCACGTGATTTATGCCACTATTTCTGCCCGGGATGGGACACGGAAGGTTGGAACGAGGAAGGGGGGACGTACCTAGAAGCATCTACATGTAGCGGAGGGTGCTATTTACCTGTCCGACTCTCCGGGCTCGGACCAACGGTAGGCAGAAGGGTGCTTTGGCTCAGCGCAGCTGCTGTACCCATACCCGGGCGTTCTGCCTTTGCCTGAGAGCCGCTGGTAATATTGCTCCTGTTTGTCTGTGGAACGACAAGGACAGGCCCAATTCGACTTGCACCAGTGAAGTTCAATTATGTTTATTCCTTTAAATAAACAGGCCATAATAATGGCGCCTGAACGTAAACTGAACGCTGATGTGCGTCCGTTTTAAGGGGTCTTGCCTTCGAGTTTATAGTAGACGGCCACCGAACGAAGCAAAAGTATGCAAATACAAAAACGCAACATCAGTGAAAATCTCAATATTGTAATGCAGGAGTGACTAGTTGTTTCAATCTTTAGGAACACCGATTTGTTTTAACTGACCTTCCTTCTCGACATTGTCGCAATAAAGCGGTATAGAATATAATCGTGCACAAGTTCAAAAAACGGCCGGTGTTTGATCATGTTAGTGCATTAATACCTGTATCTTTTGCTTACTAAAAACATGCAAAACGCTTAATTATGAGTGGAAACGACGGAACGAATTTCTGGGTCGAGTACAGTTTTCACTGGTTCATGGGAAACCGCATATGAGAATCCATGTGGTAGTGCACCGTACACGCTGTGCACTCTCGTAGCTGTGCAGTGCTGTAGCACACAACAGTAATCTAGGCTTGTGGTACTGCAGCTTCAGATACGTACCAAGCTTAAGTTGCATGAGTTGGCAGTCAAGCAGAAGTAGGGTTGTTAGCACCAACTTGAACGTGTTTAGAAATGCATTGGAGCAACGCATGTTTCTATTGAGTATGCTTTTGGGCGTATTTAGTGAACACATTTCTTTTTAATCTTGTAAAGAGCGTTACTACAGAAACTCTGTTATATACATATTTCTTACAGAGAGTAGATTCTTCGTACTACATGGGCGATCAACAAGGATGATCCCCATTAGCAAGCGTGCACGAAAATTACCTTTCTGGATACACAATTCTATAGCGATAATTAAAACATTATGTGTCATTTTGTCACAATGTCATACTCTTAGATACGTTAAAATAAACCTCGCTGTATATTGGGCGGAATAATAACAGAAAGTTTCAATAGTCATCAATGATAACTAAGAGATGAACACTTACCTATATGACTTTGCAATTTGTCATTGCATAACGTGTGGTCTAAATTGCTCTTGAATAACTGCGATTTCTGAAAACGAAACATAAATTGTAAAGCAGGTAAGGCAGGTTATTTCTCAACATAATTTTCTGATTTAAATATGCACTTCTGAAGAATGGTGGTTTCACGCCTACAATAATTTTGTTTTTTGTTGTTTCTGGGAAAATAATGGCATCAAGGGCAGAAGAAGAAAAATATTGACACGACAACAAAATAACATCCGCCTCCTCTGTGAGTTACCATGCTTCCTTGGATAGGAAACAGGAACTTTACTTCATTTCACAGACGTAATAGAAAAAGGGGTACAGTGAGGCTTCTCTATACATCTCCTTGCAGAGAACACATTTTTAAACGCGCTCCAAACAGTGTCTAAAGATTATACCCGAACCCAAAAAAAGACAAATCAAGACTTCCGACAGTAAAGGCTGCTTAAATATAGCATTGGGGAGGTGCTGAAACCTGACTGTAATTTGTTTTGTACGTTCGTATGCAAAGCAGGAGCCAACTTCTGCTTAACTTTTTTTAAATGTTTATTCGGATATCCCATTAAAGCGGACGAACTGCACGTGCCGCGAAAGCAGACGTCTGTCGCTCATTCTGCCCATAGTTAAATGGCGGCGCGCCTTCAACTGATATGCATGGCAGAAGTCCATCCCAACGTGGCCAAGCCGGCTTCAATTGAAGAGCGCCGTCACCACTCCAGCAAAATCGATATATCCGCCATTACCGATCACAACATTCACTCAGATATATTGTGTTAGTGACATTTAGCCGCGTATTCTGATTTTTTTCGTTACTTCTGACTTTGCCAGCTGTTTGGTTTAGCGGTCTTCGACGCAGCATTCCGAAAGGAACGCATGAAATTAGAAGCGCTGCGCCGCCCTCCATGATGCAAGCTCACCGTGCCCTCTCGCGGGTGTTGCGGAACGTCGTAGGTGTGCTCCACCATTCTGGACGAGGCGTAGGGAGACATGGAGACACCCGCGGACATGACGCGGCCGTGCTCGTCCGATCGGGGTCCGCCGCCATCGTCTCCGCTCTCCCGCCTCGATATGTTGGGGAGTTTGGAGGAAGCGTAGGGGGACGGGTAGTACTCCCGGCCGCCCACGTCCCCGGATCCGGGTTTTTCCAGTTCGGACATGATGAGGGAATCCATTTTGAGGTCTTCGCACATCCGTACACCTGCACATTTCAGTTCGATTACAATACGGTGTAGCCGTTATTTCTATCCTCTGAATATATTATATACTGCAAAGCCCACGTGAGACAATAACGCTTGTGCGTGGGACGCTCAGACGACATGAAATCTGTCTGGTCACACTCGCACTGAAGCAAACGTGGTTTGCTGCTATGTTTCGCTGTCACCGACAAATCGATCTTCTATAGTCGAAACGACGAAAGGGCACAGGCCTGACAGGTTATATTGCATCGCATGTGAATAGAAACCTATTTTGAAACGTCGTCAGAAGCACGGTTCACTTTGCGTGGGAGCAGAAGCGCATAAACCCCCCGCCCCCCGTCGACGCGAGTTTTCTACCATACACGATGCTTCTGCCTCTCATGCACCTCAATCGCGCGCAGTCAATGCACTGAGGAATGCATGAAGTGCGCGTTGGAGCCAGGGCGTTCAAAAAGGTGCCTTGCCCTTGTCACTTTCTTGGTGACTCTAGCTTAAATGGGCACTAAACGTTTTTGTTCAAACTTGTTTTATTGGGATATTGTTTATTTAGTCAATAAAAATGCACTAGATGCGAAGACATCCTAGTGGACCCACAGCAATGAAAATAGGCAGACACTGTTTTTTCTGGGGAGGACATCTTCGGGTCCACACCACCTCCAATAACTTTGACCAATGAAAATTGTTTACTGCGTGGAGATTCCGAACGTTACTATTATTGTCCTTTTTAGGCGCCTTGTACATTAGGTTTTCACAGACACTCGAATCTTTTGGGTGTAGGACAAGTAATACATTGTTCAAAAACGCCGTCAGATGGCGCCCCCCCCCCCCCCCCCCGGTGTCTGCTCCAAGGCGCAGAAGGAGGGGCGTGTCTCAATCCTGGATTAGATTTTAATCGGAAAATAGGCTGCACATAAGTGTAATCTTGGATTTTTGAGGATGCTTAGTGTCCGGAGATTGAGATATCATCATGAATAGTGAATCTCAGACCCTGATTAAGGGACCCTTTTAAGGCGTGACGCAGTTAAAAAAAAAATACATATCTTGTTTTTAAATTGTAATTTACAATTTCGGGTTTTTGGCATCGTTATTATCTTCCCCTTTTTGCGTATAAAATCTCAAGCCACATACTTAATTTCAGATTAAGTCCAGACGCAACCGACTCAACGACGTGATGATACCAATAAAGCAGCGTCAACAGCGCAAGTCAATCTTTTTCTGTTTCTGATTGGCTCAGTGATGAGAGAGCACACACAGAAACAAGATGAACACCATGTTGGTGTACATTTCAGGCTGTTTGACTTAATCCGTAAGCTCGTAGCGTTGGCTGCGTGTAGACCCAAGTTAAAACAAAGTACAATATAATTGCAAAACTAGTCAGATATGCATTCCAAGTACCCCCGGCCACGGAAATTGGGGAATATTGGAGCCATTTTGGTTTGCATGGTAACTCAAATCGTAGTGTTACATGACACCGCATTCATTTTAGAAATTAGGCACAGCCGTTTTCTTCCCGTCGCATTCTTCGGATACTTTTTTTCATTTTCGTGCAAACAAATGATAACAAAAATATTCTTCCGTTACGAGCGGGTGTTAGTTAACGAAGACTATTCCACTCCGTGATGCTTTTTTAATTTTTTTTTTTAATTTTCCGGTAACTTCACATATCACGCACAAGACTTGTTGTGTTTACTTTTGCCCTATCACAACCAAATTTGGCAGGCATATACTCTACAATCTGCAGAATGCAATCATTAAAGGGCCCCTGAAAAGAACACAAAGAAATGTTTTTTTTTTGTAAACAGTCCGGTTAGGGTCACGCAAGTCGAGAAATAAATTTTACTTGAAAGAAATCTTTCAGAGCGATATTGACGGCGAGAGTATTTTTGAAATTCTGCGCGCAATGTCCATGACGTCACAGAAAGGTCGTTCGCTCTTTCCACCTCAACGTGAAGGCAAAGCCGATCCACCCCTCCTCCATACACAAGAAATCCCGAGAGAGAAAACAAGTGGAAAAGGGGTGACTACCGGCTGAATCGCGCCTCGCGCAGTCATTATTGCACTTTTTCTTTTATTAATTACAGGTAAAATTAATTTTTTGACATGCCTGTCCCAACCAAACATTAAAAAAAGACTCTTTTTCTTCTTTTTTAGGGGCCCTTTAAGATTAGTTTATTATTTGCCACCCATTTAGAAATAGCTTCTATTTTTGTGAGTTCCAATTATTCTTAAGCAAATTGTGTGTCACACAAAGTAGTTTTGTTATTTGTTGCTCTCAGTGGTTTACAAAGACCAAATCAGCTAATGCGGCGCTGCATCTTAAAATTTGTTGCCCCGCCCCGTGTGTGCATAATTACTTTTCTTTCACGTACACCGCAACAAGAACATAAAAAAACTCTATCACAACTAATATTATATTTGTCAAAACAAAATCAAGCGTAGAATAAACTGTGGAAGTTTCGTCTAGCTATGTTAATTATTAAAACAAAACCCGTCCGCCAAGCACATGTCCCAACAACATGTCCCCGAACCCAGATTGTGCATAAAACAAGTCGCCGTTAGTGCATTGAGTTATTTTTGCGTTAGCGTTTGATAGAGCTGTCACGCCGACATTGATGTCTGCGACGGCACTTGTAATCTTTCACAAGACCATTCCACTAAGCGTCTGACTTTCTTCGTAATCCACGACCTCGTCACTGGTCATTGATAACAACGTGTGGCTGCAACTTTCAGCGAAAGTTTACGTTTATTTCCAAACGTTTTTTTAAGGAATCATTTTTTTTTTGTTTAGAATGTGAACGCAATATCTTTCCCTACATTTCATATGCACAAGGTTGTATACTCGGCGACAACTTTTCTTGGCAATGCAGTGGAAGGTACGTCCCACGTCCCCTCTCCCATTTTGAGTGTACGCAGGCTTTCCTCCTCCATTTCCGGGGAGAGGAGGAGAGCCTGCGTACACTGAAAATGGGAGAGGGGACGCGGGCCTGTACCTTCCACTGCATTGCCAAGAAAAGTCGTCGCGGAGTATAGACATCTTCAATTCTGGTTTATTTTGTACGTATGGGCCTCGCATAAATATTCATATAATTTTTCAGACGCTGAGACACTAATTCTCTATTAGTGTCTCGGCGTCACAAGATAATTTATTGAGACATTGTGTCAATAAAATAAACACCTGCCCGTGACAGAAGTACCGTTTCTTCTTATTAATTAAATTCGGACTCTCTCTTAATTCGCTTTGCTTCTTGTTCACTCTGTGCTGCTCTCCTCGGGGTTATGCTATAAGAAACCGAGCATACATGAACTGCGTCTGCCTAAAAAGGTCCCACCTCCATACGTGTCCATGGCAGAGGGAGGAGTCCCAGACGTCCGCTTGCGGCACAGAAGCACCATAATGGCTACGGTGACCGCCATGAGCACCACGATGGAGCAGCAGATGGGCACAATGATGGAGAGACTTCGGTAGCGCGGGATGCTTTCCCTCCCCGTCTCTGCCATCTTGTCCGGTTCCAACAACGGGTCTACAAAAAAAAAAGATCGTAATTTTTTTATAGCGATTCATAATTACATATAAAACCACTTTCAAGGTAAGCAACAACGAACTAGAGGGGATAGACATATTAAACCTGTCGCTAAGCGAGCTAGTAACCCTTAGCTCCGGGGTCACTATGTTCATCCTTAACCAGCTCGCCCGCCTACTTGCTTTAACTAGACGGGCTTCCGTTTCTCATATTACTTTGAGACACCTGGATGTTGTGCGTGTTTTCTTATTGTGCTCGCGCGATTACGAGCGGGTATTATTGGAGTTTGCCTCTGATTTATCGAGCTCGTTACAGGCAAGAATTAACGTGTCTAAGAGATCCAAACACTCATCGTCCCGTTCGACCCAACAAATGTGGGGATATTAATTATGAGCGGCGTTTGTATACGCACGTGACCTGGCTCGAGACGGTGTAGACGTTGAGAACGTTAGCGAAGTTTACCGTTTTACGTCGAGGTACGACCGCGAGTAAAGACAGATATAAGCAGTCGTGCTTGACTACGGAACGGCGACTTACAACAGCGAGTTGCAGGAACATGCGTACTTCGTATATCACGTGCATGGCTAACACGCTTCATACAACTTACTTATTTACGTGCTGCTTACTAAATGTGCTTCTTTCTACTTCGTGGTCGTAACTCAAGGCACGTTTTCAGAATGTAGTTGAACGCTACTAATGTATTTAAATGAGACTTTATCTGTGCCTCCCATGAAACACCGCGGCACGGCAATTAATCCAACTATTAAGTTCACCGGCGGCTTGCAAAGCACGGATACGGTAACTCGTAGTAGTCTCTCGACGCAATGTAACCAAACGTCCTTAATCGCGTCTCTGTGAAGTTAGGTACGCCAGCCGAAAAACGCTCCAGCGTGCGAATGGTTATAGAGACACATAGCTGCAGGTCAAAAATAAAAAAAAAGACGTGTGGTTTAAATTGATACCGAAATAGTCTGGCCCTGTCCTTTCGAAGCACTGTGCGTGACAGTGTATCAATCTTAAAGAGCACATTTGTTTACTAATTTACACCGCCATATCTTTTTTTAAGCCGTACACGTTCCCGCATGAATAGACCCAATAAAAAAAAGAAAGACTACAAGGCTGTTCTTTGTTGACAACTTCATGTAAATACATAATTTAATATGCTAATAAAAACTACTTGGTTGAGCGGACTCTGCGTCCCTTTTTGTCGATTACAGACTCATCGACAGACGTTTTATGCTTGATGTCCAGCCACTCTCGTCGACAAGGCTGCGTTTGGTCAACACGACTTGATAACATCGCCGTTCATTTCTGAAGGTGGCGACAGCAGTTTTTATCACTCGAAAAACGAAACGAAATAAATTTTGAGATTGGTTTCGTATAGCTTTGCTCTATCGCATAATTAAGCGCCGAATTCAGAAACCTCACTCAAGCTACACTCAAACTGAAGGGCCCCTCCACTTCCTCGCGGAAGTGCAGGGGCCCTTCAGTTTGAGTGTAGTTTGAGTGAGGTTTCTGAATTCGGCGGTTACGCTCCGTGTTTTCGGATAAATCCAAAAAAACTCCGAAAAACACTCGCCGGTAAAATTTTGGTCAATTCGGATTTATTCGCTAAACTCCGAATTTTTATGTGTCAATGCCACATCCCCCCCCCCCCCCCCCCCCCACCCCGGTCGAAGAAAAAAAAGTAAAACTTTTTTTCTTGTTTTTGTTTTACAGTTTGATCAGCACAGAGCCAATGGTCCTGGGAAAATTCCACCATAATTATCTTTCAAATCTCGGACCGTTGTCAAACGGGGTCTTGCCGTTTGTCTCTTCAAGGTTGATTCAGGGCAACAGGTCGTTCGTTGGACATTCGGGGGTCACGACAAAAGCCACTCTTTTGGTTTCCAGTTTATGGCATGCGATTTGTGATTTAGAGAAAGGAAAGGGTATGCTTTAGTAACAGTGAAAGCTATGGACCATAGGGATTGTATAAAATTAGGAAGAGGGACAGTTCAAACTCTCTATTACCTCCTTAAAGGCCGAAGTACACTTCGCGCTTTCCACTCTTGCCCGCCTCCTCCTTTCCTATTTCCTCTCCAGTTTTCACCTTGCTCCAACTTGGCTCCCCTCGCAGCTTAGGAAAGGAGGAACGCTAAAAGGATTATCTTTCTTGCAGAAAACCGAGGTTGTACGTCGGCCTTTAACCACTCCACCTCGCGCGGCCGCGGGCTAGATTAATGGAATAGGATGGGATGACTACGAGTATCCTAGCGACTACCTCCGGGAGTTCATTGATTTTAGGGTATCGGCGCTTATCGAAGCGCCACTTGTGTGTGACTTTTGTTGTGGGAAATTAGTATTGCCAATGGCAATGGCACCAACGCCAAATTCAACTGAAGATATTTTGATTAATACAAGCGAGTTTTCTTTTTTATCTGGCATACATTTACATTCGGTTATTATTTATTTATTTATTTTTAATGGGAAACACAGTAAAATTAAACTCCGAATTTCGGAGAATTAGGAATCAACACAATATAAACTCCAAAAATCTCCGAATCTTCAAAAAAAAAAGAAATAAATAAAGTCCGAAAAACACCCTACGAATTTGACGAAAAATAAACTCCGAAAACACGGAACTTTGCGCATAATGCATCGGTAAGAACAGTACCGGGGGTTTCAATGAACTTTATCTTTGCACGTCATCACGAAAAAACAGTTTGAGGCAGAGCATAATCCCATAAACAGCGCGTTCATTTCGGAACCGGATGGCGTTTTGACAGCGAGGTGCCCGGGCGAGGAAAAACCTGAAGTTGCCAAAACTGTGTGTATAGAAATTAATACAACAGGGGTATTATAACATTTTAATCTTAGAAAACCGAAGTAGAGATAGTATTTTACACTAAAATCAAGATTAGAAACAAACGTACCACTTTAAAACGGCGGTGCAACAATTTTTGCACTTTGTGTGAATACCGCTTAGAACTGGGGCGTGACGTTTATTACCCATGAAGCACAGGTTTGCTTTTCTCCCCACGCAATAAACGTCGCAGAAAAAACGAAAGAAAAACAAACAGCGTTCAACCCCTTCAACTTGCAGCCAGAACAAGCGGTCACCTGATCCTGAGCCATTTATACGTTGCCGATGTTGATCATAGCCACGCGCTGAGGTTGGCGAAGCACAGAACATGGACTGAGTTCCAGACATTGTTTAGGTTCTGCTATTCTCATCATTGCCGCGATTGAACAGGAGCCACTACCCGAATGCTTGGCTAGCTATTAATTATTATGAGCCTTAATCGAGTCCTAACGCAATGCTTGGGTTCAATCTATTAACCCACATTCAAATATCATCACTGGAGACAATGCCGGCACTGCGACCCCATGCTATGTCATCAAGTTTTGTGAAGGGGAAACTGAAATAAAACGCTCGCACTTATTCTTGAAATTACAGCGGAACAAAGAGGTTTCTTGGTCATGGCGTTGCATCCGAGTATACTTGGGTCCCACTAGTCCCAGTAAACTAGTGTAAAGTGAACAAAAAATTCCAAGTGAATATTGTTACACTATCCCTTTAAATTACCACACAGCGCTAGCCAACAGGAGAAAATGCTTACATGATATGCTAATTGCGATTTATGATTCTAGAAATTGCCCCAATTTCAAGTGTGAAAACTTATATATACAACTATTTGCCTGAAGAACTGCCTACAAGAAGGGTTTTCAAACATTTCGTTCTTGAAAGGGCGAGCCGAAGAATGTGTTCTATATTTTAAAAAGGAGATGTTCAAGAACGCCCACCCCCTTAAGTATTACACAGCATACACAGAGAACTAACGATAACATGCTGCGCTGATTGGATCTTTAATACTAAACATAGAACCTGAGCGCCCCACAACATTTTTGGCAGCTACTGCCACTATACTATCAAATGTAAAGTACATCTGCAAAGCGCCTGTTTAGAATGTAAAGTCATGAATCTTAAAAAAAGCAGACTTAAATTCGATACTGACGTAACTTGGTAGCTTAATTACGTGGCTAAGTCGCAAAGTACATTCAAGTGGTTTTAGAGTCTTAGATGTATTTTAAACTTCAAGTTTTAGGTAGGCAATGTTTCTCGGGATTAACTAAAAAAAAGTAAGGCTGGTATTACCAAATCAAAGGCCCAGAAAAAGTCAACACCGAACGGCTCCACTCACTTCCAGACAGGGTGAGCGTAGCAGTTGTGTACTCTGCCTTGGTAGAACCGGCGCTGTTGAAGGCCATTACAACAATATTGTACCACGTGCCCGGCATGAGGTCACCAATGGCAACGCTATCGCGATCGGGGAGCACCCTGGACGACAGTAATGTCCACTCGGAGTCGTCGCGTGACTTGTACTGGATGAAGAAGTGGCTGATGGGGCAGCCTCCGTCCCTCCAGGCGCCCAGTGCAAGGCTCAGTCCAGTGACGTTCGGCACAATACCAGTCCTGTGTGATGGCGGCTGGGGCACTGTAAGCAGAATTGCAGCATGCCACAAAAGGTTAGGTGACAGCTTTAACTTGTCGTGTCTCTGCTATATTCGTATGTTCTTCGGTGTTGATTGATTGCTAGTAATCTTGAGGTGCATGTTTTGACCTTTCAGATAACTGCTGTTGTGTGCACAAGGCAAGGAAAACACACGTCATTATATTTTATGTTGCTGTAAGCTTATGCTCCATCTTAGGTTTGTATTATTATATCTTGAAGTGGTTTGTACGTGTTCTGCTATAGAAATGTTCAACCAAGGAATTAGAAAAAATCAGAAGTGATTGGGGATATCGACCATAATCAAAGTTGTTGTGCTCTTTTCTTTCAAATACTGGGAAGGTATTCAGCTATTGGACTCAATGAATATGTCCTAGCACATGTTTTCAGTAGTGACAAGCTCGGTTTTATTAGATGGGAGACTTCACAGACTATATTATTTGTTGTATTCCAATTACTTAAAATCTGATTTGGGTACGAAAGGATTTGTTAATGTGTAACTCAGTTGGGTTGGTTGTGCCAGCAATGGCATTAGGCCACAGTTTCATACAATGAAAAATGCATCGAAAATGCCCTTTCCCAATACTTTTTCAATCCCCGCCCCCCGCGCAAACACAATGGCCGACCACCTTGGGCACACATAGATTTAATTTCCGCGGATTTTTATAAACGTTTTATCAAACTTTAGTAAGGGAAAAAAATTGTCTCACTTGGCCTATTTCTTGTTGATTTGAATTTTTTTTTAAACAAGCGAATGTTTTATATTGTGTATTGGATATCTGTTACATAACCTGACCTGTTCCTTCTGTCTTGACTTGTAGTAGTTCCCCTGGTTCACTCCTCCCATTTCGATTGTAGCTCAGGATGGAGAAGTAGTAGGCACTTCCACACACAAGGCCTTCAAACAGATAGCCCCTCTTATCGGGCCCGAGAGACACCTCATTCCAGTCCATGCCTTCGTGGAGTCGAAACCTTGCTACGTATCCTGCATACGAAAAAACAAGATAAAAAACAGAGTGATGGTTGTACACATGTCTAGGATAAGAGAATTTTTAGAGCACTTGCATGCAACCTCCTGTCGGTGTCGACAAAAGGTTGCAACCTCCTGTGCAACCTCCTGTGGACACCGACAGTAATCGCTGTTCTATCTAACAAGTGGAGAAATAAACAGCAATACTATATCATTAAATGCGATTGGCGAAGTCATATCCAAAGCGCTTTTCACTCGTGCAGAATATCTGTCAGCTATTTTAATGCCCACTGGGGAACGCACATTGCAGTAGTTGCCGTGGGCGTCTGAGTGATATTAATGGAAATATTGACATTGCACATAAATACTGCACTGCATGTGTACACTGTTTTAAAAGGGACTTGTCGTATGTAAACAAGCCTGTATTTAGTCATTCATTCGCCAAGTACGTAATATGTGCAAATTACTACTTTCTTAAAAGGTGGAGTGCGTGTGTGAGCACTGTGTAATTCAGAGTTATATGATATGACCCTTATATGATGGAAACCACGAAACCAAGAATCAAAGTGCAGACGAGACAACAAACCAAGCACTACTAAGCTCAACCGAAATATTTGACTGCCATAGAACCAATGTGTCATATAATACATGTCGTGCTTCAAATATCGAGATCACATGAACTAAAATAATTGTATATAGCAGTGATATTATTTGTAACCCCCAATCCCCCCCCCCCCCACACACAAAAAAATAGTTACTTTTATAAATAAAGTGGCCTAGTCTAATGAGAATGTACGATACCTTCAATGGCATCCTTATTTTCTTCCTGAGGGGTCCAGGCCAGCTCTATCGCGTCCGGGGTCCTTGTAACTACCGTCACAATGGGGGACGGAGGCGGATCTGCAACCGACAGGAACGTGGTTAGCACCTGTTCACTCAAAAGCTTTGACGTTGAGCGAAAATTTGTTCTGGTTATACTATAAACATTCATATCAGTGTTTAAAAATGATCAGAGTAAATCTACATACAATTGTTTCAGTGCAGTGATGGCTTGACTTTAAGGAGTTTTGTTTCGTTTGTTCTGCATTACATTTTAAAGGTATAACTTAAAATGTTCAGCAGTAGAGCACGAATTTCGAGCAAACTACTCCAGGTACACATTACAACAGGCGTTTTAATGCAACTAACTTCTTTTCTGGTCTGGCCTTTTAAACTAGCATGTTGATTGTGACAAAATATACAGAAGCCCGATAAAATAATATTTATCTCAGTAACTGGACCCCCCTTTCACCAACAGAATATGCATATACTAATTCCAAAAGGCTTCAATTTACGCATGTCAGCGGACATACGCATGACAGGGGACATTTCTTTGACATGCAGCAGCCCTATGCAGCGAACTATTTTTTTTTTATAAAATCTGCCTCATTTGTGAATGCAAGTGCTTTTTTTTACTTGCATCATCGTCATGACCAATATGAAGCCCAGAATTTGCTGTAAATACTGGATTGGTCAAATTTGCTATAATTTGAAACGCACTGCCTCAATTATACTGAAAAAAGCTCGCAGACAAAAAAGGGTGCTTGGTGTCAGATATTGCTATCACAGTCTTGTAGCCAAAATTGTTTTGTATATTTTATGAACCAGAGCATCCCAACGACTATCTAAGTAAATAAAAAGATTAAAAGATGCCAGTTTTATCCAGCGAAAACCTAAAATATAGACATTGCTTTTTATACTATGTATTAGGACAGGGCATATTTTTAACAAATCAAAGTCGGTATGAGCATTTTAGCGAACTAAACCGTGAAATGGTTACAAATGTTTTTACTGACATTTGCTTCTTACTATATCAAACTTAAGTTCTCTTTGTTTCTATGCGACTAGAAAGACATACCGACATTTTGTTTTAATAGCTAATCAGGGCTAAATACCATCTAAATTAGCTCTAAAAGTAATATTTTATTGCCAAGAGCAGAAACAAGTTTCGGAGTTCTTGCAGCACCCGATTAACAAAGGTAATCTAAAGATTGTTCGACATGTAAATAACTTCTCAGTAATAAGCTGCCCTCTCCTCAATAAGTGGAAAGGTCGAATTCACCAACTGAGGATATGAAGTGGCTGTAACTTTGCTTCAGAGCTGCTGAGCTGACAACAGTTGCAAATGGACTTCCAATGATATGCCCGAAATGTCTAAAAAAAGCAAGGGACTACCGAGAGGCAATTCACATTCCTTGCTATTCATAGCTTACAAGCCTTCGGCAGCTCACTGTCTTGCGTTTTCTCTTGTTTTCCACACTACAATCGATATACTTGCCATGCTCATGAGTCTGGACCATTATCTCATCGGACAGGGGCCCTGCTCCCTTCTCGTTGTAGGCTTGAACAACAACAGCGTACGCCGTCGCCCGCTGCAGGTTGTCAATGATACACTGGGTGGTCGGTCCCGAAGCTCTCGTGACTGTCTTGAACACGTAGGGCTCCGTTGTGCCGTGCACGCGGTAGCCGACGTAGTAGCCCTGAATATCGCCGTACTGGAGGTGCAGTGGTGGAGGCTGTACAGGAGAGCATGGTTCATACGTGCAGTACGTCTGAATAGATGAATATTTTGCCACGAGCACGCATATAATATAGTCAGTTACAGGTTGAGCAAAGTTTTCGTAGGAAAGGAAGGTTCGGGAGGAGAAAGCAAACTTTTCTGACCTCGAAATTCTTTCTGATTATTCTATCGTGACACGGAACTATGAAATACTTTGTGTTAGAAGAAAACGGGACATATTTTCTGTTTTGTATCGTCCACCTGGTGGAAACGTTGAAGTATTTTTAAATTTTTTAGAAACATTATTTTGTTTTGCAAATGAGGAAGGATGTACGCTCTTTCTTGGTGGAGATGTGAATATAAATCTGCTAGAGCAAACGCGTCTTAGAGATGAATTTCTTACTTTACTTACGTCTAATAACTTTTGTAATGTCATTGTCCCTCCCACTCGTGTCACAACCACGTCATCAACATTGATTGATGTGTTTGTGACGAATTGCGAGGAAAGTCTCATCAGTGCTGGTGTTCTAGGTTATGGTCTAAGTGATCACTTGCCAATTATTATGTTTATACACAAAACTGTGCCCCAGGCCACTGAGCTTGTTAATGAAGATAAGGAACCTACTAACATGACCCGAAGTATAAATCCCACTACATTAGAACAATTCCGATTAATTATTTCTAATACTAATTGGGACTCTGTATTCTCTGCAACAACTGCCAATGAAGCGTACAATGAATTTTTGAATATTTTCAAAAATATTTACGACAAGTGTTTTCCGTATAAACAAATAAAACAGTTTAAAAAAAAACCGCAAGCCCTGGGTAAATAGAAAGTGCTGGAAAATGATTCAGAAAAAAAATAAACTCTATAATGTCTTCCTTAAAACAAAAGCACCTGAGGACCTTGCTCTTTTTAAACAATTTAGAAATACATTGAACAATGCTCTACGTCAGGCAAAACAAACCTACCTTAATAATTTATTCAACGAGTCATGCATGGATAGAACAGATGTGGTATGGAAACGGCTAAATGAAGTATTAAAACGGTGTCCCTCTAAACCAGCTATACACGTAATACAACGAGATGGGGTAACATTGCAAGGAAAAGCTCTCGCTGAAGCTTTCAATTGTTATTTAACTAACCTTGTTAGTAGCATACATATACCTTCATCAATGACGTATATGAAGCCTAGAAACGAACACAGCGCAGTTTTCTTTCCAACTGATCAAAATGAGATAACTTTAATTATGTCATCTCTTAAAAATAGCAACTCCTGTGATATAGACGATTTGCAGATAAAACCAATTAAGCATGTTGTGGACGTTCTATTACCTGTGTTAACACACATTATGAACTTCTCATTGTCCAGTGGTATTTTTCCTAAAAAGATGCAAACTGCAAAAGTCATTGTTTTGTTTAAAGGAGGGAACAAAAATGAATTTTCGAATTATAGGCCAATATCAATATTACCTGTGTTTTCGAAATGTCTTGAAAAGATTATTCACAATAGAGTGACGAGTTTCTGCACTAAATTTTCATTAATTTCTGACTCACAGTACGGCTTTCGCAGAGGTCGATCAACGGAGTTCGCTTTGCTAGAGCAGAAGGAGTTAATTTTAAAGTCGTTTGAAGAAAAAAAGTTAACTTTAGGCGTCTTCATTGATTTTTCGAAGGCGTTCGACCGTATTGACCATACTACCCTAATAAAAAAACTCGAATGCTATGGAATTCGCGGTGTACCTTTAAACCTTTTACAATCGTACTTTAAATTTCGCCAGCAATATGTCGTAATAAATGGACAGAGTTCTTCTGTCCTACCCATTAGAGCTGGAGTACCACAAGGTAGCATTTTAGGTCCTTTGTTATTTAATCTATACATAAACGATATTGTTAATATCAGCAAAGCCCCATCCTTCATCATTTATGCCGATGATACCAGTCTATTTTTTTCAGGTACAGAGATAGAAGACCTTGTTAAAGAAACGAATGCCTTACTAGAGAAACTGTATGATTGGAGTGAAGTTAACTCACTAATAATTAACACGACCAAAAGCAAGGCTGTCCTTTTCAAACCCAAGAATAGACATGTTTCTTTTTCTTTTAATATCATCTTGGGCCCCTCCGTCATAGAAATGGTGCCGAACGTCAAAACGCTCGGAGTGTATTTTAATGAACAGATGTCTTGGGATTATCACGTTAATAATGTTGTTAAAAAACTATCAAGAGTGCTTGGGAAATTATGTCAATTTAGAAATTTATTGCCTCGTCACATAAAAATGCTTATATACAGGGCCCTTTTTTTACCCCATTTGAACTACTGTAATTTAGTGTGGTGTACCACATCTCTGTCAAATGTTAACAAATTACACCTTCTTGAAAAAAAAGCTGTTCGCACAATACTCAATGTTCCTTTCGATACACATACACCCCCATTATTTAAAGAACTACGTCTAATAACTGTCCCTAATCTATATGAGTATACTTTACTAACACGATATAGATCAGCCCTCCGTTCTAACGAGCCTTTCCTTGCACATATCTCAAACCTAACACCAAATATCCGGGTATATGACGTTCGTGAGGGGGAGCATTGGAAAATGCCAACAAATCGCACAAATTACGGTTTCCAAATGCTAAGGTATAATCTTCCATTTATTCTAAATAAACTTCAGAAGCATAATTTAACAAATATCGAGAGACTGAATCTTAGTACAATTAGAAATTTTTTCCTGTATTAAAATTTCGCTTGTATTGTGAGGTCGTGTGTTCTGTATGTTTCAGTTATCCTTGAGGTAGTACGATTATTATTTCTAGTCCTGTCATGTACCTAAATATGCTATGTGCCTTATATATATGTGTGTATATGCGCGTGTGTATGATGCGTATGTATGTATGTATGTATGCGTGTATATATGTGTGTGTATATGCATATGTATATGTGTATATATATATATATATATATATATATATGATATTTTTGTTATCTTTAACAGCGTGTTTAACTTATGCTGTTCTTCTGGTTTTTATTTATTTATTTATTTATTTATTTGCTTAATGTTAAAAGCTGGAAACTTAATATTATTACTTCATGTGTAGTATGTCGCCGTGTGCCAATTGTAAGGCTGCAGAGGCCTTGTCAAGTCAAACTTTTGACTTTTTGCCCCTGCAGCCTACATCAGTTTCTGATGTGAAATAAAGAATTGATTGATTGATTGATTGATTGAAGGCAGACAGAATGATAAAGAAAAGAGAAGGGATCCCCCTCCTCTTTCCAGCGTTTAGTCCGCTTCCTCCTCCCCGACCTTCCTTTCCCACAAAACTTTTCTTAACCTGTAACTGACTATAGTGAAAGTCTTGGTTGGTTGGGCAACGAAGAATCAAAATAACGCCAACGCTGGAGTTCTGATGCAACGTCTCAGACCATTTTTAAGCCATTGCTTGTTTATAAAGTTAATTATATTTTAATCTCATTGGCATATACAAGTATACTGATCGTACCCGCATGTGCCTGTTATAGATTATGTTCTACTTATTTTAATTCACAGGGTGAATCTTTCCATTGTCTAAACAGTCAACCTCCAATGCATGGCTACTAAGAATCAGTTGCTGACTGAAATACATGTGCAAGTTCAAAACATACCATGGCATTTAACAGGTAGTTGTTTATTGAATTGAATAAGAAAATGCAAAATACAGTATGGCATCTAAGGAGTAGTTCTTAATTCAATTGATTAAGCAAGCGCAAGGTAGAGAGCACCAGTTTAAAAAAAAACGGTGCAATAACTTCAGCATCAGTTCTGGCGTGCTTACCTTCCAGGCCACCTCCACTTTTTTGGAGCCGACGGCAGACACCTTGACACTTTGGGGTGGTGTTGCTGGGACTGAAATAATTAAAGTTAGGAATTATGCTCGGGCATTTCCTCGGTGGTAACATAAGTAACATCTCACTTTTTCAGACCCTTCAAAGATATAAACTAGCAGTCGTTCTGCATCCTTTATTGTATAGGTTGATACTTCCCACCAGTTTTAGCTTCCAGCTTTTCAGCAGCAAGTTCTACAACTTAGTTGTCTATTTAACGAAGCGCCCTGACAAGAGAGTTTACAACGGTTTGATGTGAGATAGTGCATGTCTGTTTACAGAGAAAACGATTGAGTAGCATCAGTTTCTTTCACCTTTTTGTAGAAACTAGAGGTTTTCTCAGAGTTTGAACTTAGTCAGGGACATAGCTGCCGTCTCAGATGTTTTTCCTAAAAATACGACTTCTTAAACAAGAAGGCTCTTACCTTCTCCGTCGGTGATGACAGTGAGCACTTCGCTGGGAGGTCCAATGCCGATGGCGTTCTCGGCGAGTATTCTGAAGTTGTACTCCGTGAGTGGATGAAGGTCTTGGACAGTGACTTGGCTCTGGTCGGCTTCTGCTACCATTTCACTTAGCTGCTTCTCCCAAGAGTCTATTAGTAAAACAATATTTTCATCACATTCAGTTTGAAATAAAGATATAATTGCCTTAGCAGCTATAAAAAAAATTTCTCAATTTGATATTTCCGAAATGTAGTCTGTAGTCACACACCTTATCTTCCTATTCACGGCTGGGTCCCTACACTTAGTACTTTAAGGACAAGCTTTAGTTGAAGAGCAATGCAGCTAAACAGCTTTAAATCATTCCAAGGTGATGATATATTGACAATGTCTGCTATTATTTAGTTAGAGACATCTGCAAGCCCAGAGCTTATGTGAAGGCAGAACCTCGTTAAAAGTAAAAAAACACGCTTTGAACCAGTGATGAGCTTCAAAGCTGTCAGTGACTATAGTTGATAGTCACAAAAATATTTTGAATCGCGCAAGATACTCATTAGTAGACAAAATACTGTATCAATGCTCTGCTCACGATCCTCTAATCTAAGTTTATAATATTTGCTATTACTTCTAGGTTATAGAGACTAGGTCTTTCAAAGAGCTCAGTCAAATACAGAAGTATGCACTCCCTTAATGTTTAACAACAAAAACTACATCGCGATTCTCTGGATATGAGCAGTCTTCTATTTCTACTGGAGTTTCCGTCTCCAACTACTGGACATTTAAAAGCCGGCATCTTTCATTTTAGTAAAAAGAACTGAGACTGAAGTATTGACAGTTCAATTTCGTATATCAAGATTCCAGGGCAAGTCAAGCAAACACTGAAACAAAATTGAAAAAAAAATTGGGTGTGAGTAACATACCCACACTACGCTTGTACTGGACAATGTACTTGATTATGGGAGAGTTTCCGTCGCTGGGGCTTTTCCAGAGTACCGTTACCGATCGACTGACCACGTTGAGCACTTCCGGCCTCGGCGGTTCATCGGGCCTATCTTCGGATCAACAAGAGAACTCATGTGAACCAAGCTTGAAAGAAAGTCCCTTTGATTATACCGACTATGAACGTAGAAGCAGTAGAGATTTCAATCGTATTTACCTTGAATAGACAGGTGAGTGATTTGTTCGTCGTGACCATAAGCATTGGACACTTCGCACTTGATTGCACCGGTATCGTTTTTCTCAGCAAGGAGAATAGTAAAATCTGATGATGGTGATCCCGGTCGGGCACTGTCTTTAATCGTGTACCTGCAGATATAAAAAACACAATATTTATGGAATTTAAAGTAGCTCTAAAAGTAAACCGTTCACTTTCTACGCAAGAACCATAATCATTATATTTCTTAATTAAAGACCAAAGTGAAATGAGAACTGACTGCTGGAATATAGTTCAGGTTGGCTCCACCAAGTCAATAGGTGGCTCAAGACACCGTTCAATCAAAAGGTTTTGTCGTGGCATCTATTCATTCTTTGAGACCCCCGGAATGTATGGTGTGTGCTGGTGGCTTGCTGACGTTTTTATCTTGAAAGGTTTAATTTATTATTGCGAATCAGTTAAGATTTGCAGTCATGTCAGTTTTGTTGGATGTACAGAACGCGACTCTGTTAGCGCGAAGAAGCAATCGCCGATTTTTTCCAGTTTTTTTTTTGTTTCTTTTTTTTAATTAAGGGATATCATTCAAGTTATTATTGCAACGTAAAGAGATCATTTAGTTCCAAAATGTAAGTGATAAGATTTTGTGCTCGCTAATATTATTTAGTAGTAAAATGCGAAAATGCGCCAATGTCGTGTTCGTGCTAACAGTTTCGCGATGTGTACGTCAACACCGAGACCACAATGCAGAGAAGTGAACATCAAGTTGGATTTGTGTCATTCGAGAGTCCTGCAATGCCCTTTAAGTTAATTAGCAACATACTGTAAGAATAAATGGGACCCACGTGGTATTCTTGTGCAATTTTACACGATCTAAAACTCAAATGAAAACGTCTGCCCAAACCTTGGGTTTGAGAAGGTCTTGATCGGTCTGCTGTCTTTTGACCAGAAGAAGTGGATGGGTTCGTCACCACTTGCATCGCACCGCAAGTTCACAGTCTGTCCTTTGCCAGTCATGTGGGACAAAAAACGCTGACGTACCTTCGCAGGTGCTGAAAGAACAAGTGCCACAAAAATAAATCTAGAAGCCGTTCGTTCATTCAATTATCAACAGCAAAAAACATGTATCCATGGTTGTAATATGCTTTTCTTGTTGTACTCACCATGCACACTCACTTGCACTACAGTGTATAAGGGAAGTCCAACGCCGTTGGAAGCCTCGCACATGTAACCTCCGGCGTCTGAGGTTTCAATTTCTTGTATCACAAGCGAGCCATTCACCAGTGCTTGCATTCTTGAACTGCTGATGACTGTGCGGAACTCTGTGCTTTGCACCCCTATGGTTGGAAAAAAGTATTTGAAACTTTTTGTGGACATACTGTATGATAAAGAACCTCATCATTGCTTTAACTTGCTCTGAAGTAACATCGTGAAAAACTTAGTTGCGTTCAAACCTGAGTATTTCACGCAGCTATATGCCATGCCTCAAAACTGGTCTAAGGCCAGTGGTCTAGTGGGGAAGGTTTGAGAGTTCATAGACCAACGATCTTTCGCTAACCACAAAAAGAAAACGGTGGAAATGATATACCATCAAGAATCACCTTAACATTGCAAGTTTATCTGGATTCAGGTCCAGCCGCACGTCGTTGAGCCAAGAAACATCGCCAGGATTTAATTTCAACGAGACTACTCCTTATTTGTACCTTCGTGAATGACGCTGCATGACACACTTAAGTATATCCCTCTACATCAAATGGGGCCACTAAAACAGGCACGTTCCGACAAATTCACTATTAAATGTATCTACTTGTCATCCGTGCTAGTCACTCAAGTGGCTACTGTAGCACTTGGATGCTGATACCAACTATGGTATACAATAACATTCTAGGGATTGTAAGTTGGAGACTTTGCGGGAAAGATGGCTATGTCGCCGAACGCCGAGATTAGCCAGCGTGGCGCTTGTCCTTGGCGCAGACGTTCTCCAAATCGTGACATCATTTAAAGGCCGACTTACGCTTCGTGCTTTCCACTTTTGTCCGCCTTTTCCTTTCCTATATCCTCCCCACTTTTCGCCTTTCCTCAATATGGCTCCCCTCGCACCTTAGGGGAGAGGAGCATTAAGATTATTATGTCCCCTGCGGAAAACTGAGGTTTTACATCGGCCTTTAAGCGAGGTGGGGACCGTACGACTTAGCAGTCCAGCACATTTAAAGAGGGTCGGCAGAAAAACGTCCAAGAACTTTTCACTGATGTGTTCTCTACACGGACACTTCGCCTGCATATATGAAAAGCTTGAGTGAAAGAGTTTGTGGGAGGGAAACCTTCAAACCTGCCGACTTCTTCCAACGAACCCTGGGTTCCGGGGTGCCGTCAGCCTGGCAGTCGAGAACCACTCGCTCCCCTGTGGTGACCGTAGCGTCCGCAGGCTCGAGGCGCCATCTCGGAGGTGCTGCGAGACGTAGGTATGCGTCGTTCCGAATGTACTCCAGCACCGGAAAAAGCATGCTAATTCATTAAATTACGAGAAAAACTATTTTGGACACTTCCTTCATTCAATCACCCCAACCTCAGCTGAAATACCAAGTTTATACTAGTTTCTGGGGTGCGTGCTACTTACATATTATCCCTCTCTACAGGAATGTTGTCCGTTAATATATAAAAAAAAAATTTAATTTGGAATAGTGTAGTGCGGGTATTTAGACAGGGGGAAGTTTGTCAGCCCCACTGAACTCCTGGTGTCTCCTTTGTGATTGAGAAAGTTAGTCAGTGAAGCACGACAGCTAGCCTTGATTTTTAACGGTCACAAAACAGTTTTGATACATGACCGCACGCCAGCACGAGGATCATTCGGTAATGAAAATAAACAAAAAAGTTAGACGTTCCTGTTTAAACAAAATAATGTCGGTCTAACCTCTTAGATATGGCGCTACTGGTTTACTCCGCACATTAAAAATTAGCCAGTGAAGTACCACAACTAGCCCGAAATCTCGAGCATGACACGCACTGCTGACGCATGACCGCACGCTTGTACAATGCTCATCTTGATCAAAACAAGAATGGGTGGAGGTTGAAGCCAGGATCCTTGAGCTCCGCACCGCGCGCTTGCATTCCGCGTGCTCCGAAAAACGGTGCAGATTTGGGAGACCAAATGTGAAATTATTGCGGCTTTACGATGTATAAAAATGTTGCTTCAGTTGAGCCGCCCCCCAGCAAACAATCCGAGTGCCTTTACGCTATTGCTTAACGTGTGTCGCAGCGACAGCTGCTCGGGGCTTGCGCAATTCACTATCATTTTGGCGCCGGTGTCGTTTTTGCGTGGCCTCCTGAGTAGTGTTCTGGGGATTTTTACGACATTTTCATTTTCGTTTTTGATTTTGCTCCCGTGCCTCTTCCTTAATTCGTCAACGACGAGTATCCTCAGCGGACCGTAAACCCAATTCCTTAACTCACATCCCACGTTCACATTCACGGACTTGCAGAGCGCCCTATGAAACTATATTAACATTGTCCTGAACGAAGTCACGGTTAATTTTCTGTGTCAAATGAATGTGTGGCACCCCGACAAGAAAGTCCACCTCCTATGCAGACCTTGCGCCAAAGCGTGAAGACAAATAAAATAGCGCATTGTTTCACCGGCAAAATCTCCCCGGGCCCCGTCACGTCATGGCCCGCCGTACACTCAGCAGGCACCGCAAGGGTCGCGGACCGAGCCTTGAGCAAGTCGAGGCTAAAAGCATGGCGGCTAGAGTTGACCACCCCCCCCCCCCCCCCCAAGTATTTCTTGTCAGACAAGCCTAGACGAACTCCCAACCTTTACGCCACATCTTCTACCGTGTTTACAAGCGACCCGACCTCTTCACCTGGCCGAAATGCGGAGGATACCCCATCATCCCTTATGACTACTGGTACCGTAACCAACCCACCTTTCCCCCATAGGTCTTCGATAATCCCTCGTGTGGAGAATTGCTAGCTGCATCCTTAAATACTCACGTAGCACCGCGCTCACTGCAGGCGTCGACCGATCCGGTTTTCTGGCGGAACCCGACAGGTTCCGCCAGAACCTGTTGGGTTCCGCCAGAAGTCAGAAGAAAGAGGGAGTCTTGGGCAGGACAGGTCGTCCGGATAGAAATATAGGCCTTGAACAAAATTAAGCCTACTGTATTTCTCTCTCTCTCCCTCTTTCTTTGTTTATTTCGCAGTGCGCCGTAACTGCCCTTTGGTTTGTTCGACCCGTTGTGTACGTTTCGAGGTCTAGCCATATGGCGGGTAAGTACGTCTGCTTGGATGGTCGTACACATGCACCGGCACAAAAGGATCAGAACGACAAGGCGCCCCTTTTGAACGACCGACATTCAGCACGAGCTCGTCGCCATTTGCCATGTTCGAGGCTTACGAGAGGCCGAAGCGTTATTGAAAGTAGAATTAAATTGAATTTATGCGGCCTTTATTTCGCTGCAATTTATCCCGTCGGTAGTTCAGTTGGTATAGCGGTTGATTGTAATGACAACAATTGCCTCTACAATCCATATATCACAGGCGGCTCGATTCCTGTTTGATGCACAATAATTTTTGTTTCTCGTCTCAACCCAGTGGCAGCGGCGGCTGCTGGGAGCAATTATGCGATTGATGACGTTATCGAGAATTTTCGCGAAGGACGACAAGTCCGTAGACGTTCCCACTAAGAGGCGTCGCAGTAAAAAACTGGACATACCGTAAACCACCAAAGGTGCCGAGTAGTTGACGAGAGCGGCCTCGTTGGATGCCAGGCAGGTGTACACAGCGGTGTGCTCCTCGCGGAGAGACTTAAAGACCAGCGTGGAGATGAAGTCATCCACATGACCCAGGGTGACGCCCGGCGAAGAAGAGGAGCTGATGGGCACGCCGTCCCGCAGCCAGGAGAGCCGGATTGGCGCATCCCCCTCAGGGACGCTGCACGTCACGCTGGCGCGGGACCCCAGCTGAGGCTTTTCCGGGAATGAGAACGGCGTGATGGACGGAGGAACTGCGACCGGGGCACACCAAAGACCAAAGCTTGAAAAGTTTCTCTTGGAGAGTACTTAATTTACAGTTTCTCGAGGTGACATGAAATTATGTTAAATATGCGCATTAAAAAAAAAATTAGCGTCCACGTATATTGCGGATAAAATATTAAAAATAAAATTTAAGTTGTGTATAGATCTAACCACGGATGATAACTATGGTCTCAGCAATGTTTGGCATCGCTTGATCCTTGTTTTGTGCCATTCATTTTTTAGATTTATACTGTTTTAGAAACTTCCGCAACTGTCGAAATGTTCTTCGACACTTCTTCTTTCAAAATTGCGTTTTCTGGCCGGCAGCGTCTGCGGCGCAGGTGTTTGGCAGCCGGCCAACGCTCTTCAACCGTGGCTTTCTGTGGCACCTTTCACTTTTCAAGGTTTTATCAAAATCAGTTTCAGTAAGAATAAAATTCTCCATTCAATTTTTAAGGAACAATGCCTACACGTCAGCGAGTATTATGAGACGCTGCAACAAAATTCAGTGTATGAAATTTGGAGGTTACAAACAACACTATAAAAGAAAAGCCGCTCTATGGACGTCGTGACAGTGGTAGCTTAGAAAGAGGGTGCACTACTTTTTCTATGAATGCGAATATGAAAGAGGAAGCTATATGACTATATCACCTTTTTTCCCCTTTGTATGCTAGTCACCAACATGCTCACCCTTCCAATAATATTATGTCAACTTGTGATCTACCTGTTTTGCTTGCTTAAATTTTGCTGAATTGATCTTGCAACGCTACTGATGTAGCTGAAGTAATCACTTGATTATTAGAGCGTACTACATACACCTCATTACCTGTCAAGCGTGTACTGCGAAGGCAGATGAATAAGTTAATTAACCAAACAATGCTTGCTTGATTCGATCATGTTCTCGTGGAAATAAAAACGGCAAAAGGCATTCTCAAAAATATAGGCCAGCCTGCTGCAGTTCCTTAAAATGACACTGACAGGATATTTATGCTCGCCAAGGTTTTTATTTGTAGGTGACATATAAGAGCCTAACTACTGAGAACACAATTTACGGATCGAAATTTGTTTTCTCTCCTCCCGAAAGGCGCCGATCGGCAACTGGCTGTTTTGAGTCGCGCTCCCACTCTCTTCCGTATTCACGAGCCGCTATGGTTAAGAAACAATCACCAAAAATAATCAAACTCGTGGGGCATCAAAGGCACACACTCAATACAAAAAAAAAACTGAATATAAGACACTCATTTTTGTGGCTTCTTAAACGCTGCAAATACGTTGACTGAAGAAAAAAAAAGTTGCACAACCACGGGAATTTCGGTAACTTTCTTCTTCTCTATATTTCTTCTTTCCGCCCTGTTAAATTTCGGTTCCGGTTTCAAGCAGTGGCGTTTTTTTGTTTTACTTTATTAATAATATACATGATACTGCAGCAAAATATTGATTGGGTAGTCTTCTGACAACATGATAAATAGCCTGGCATAAAAGAAAAAAAAAACTTTTTGAAGTGTCAGCGTTCTTTTAACTATTCATGCTCGATGTGCAACCCGAGACTGTGAACAACGCTTTGTTTCGATGAGAATAACATTCTCGAGCCATCATCAGGTCATTATATTTTTAAGTACAATGGAGCTTTCTCTTAAGCCGCAGGCGTTTCTCACCCAAGACCCGGAGATTCAGTTGGTTGGTCGCCTCCGCATCCTGGTCGTTCCGGACGATGCATGAATACCTGCCTTCGTCGTCATTGCGGCTGACTGTTTCCAGCGCCAAGGTCCCGTTCTGATATGGCATCACCCGCTTACTACTAGGCAGGCTTTTGCCGTCTGAAAAAAACACATCAAAGCGGAGGAATCAAAGACATGTCGCGCCGCTCTTTTTAAGCCGCAATGTTATCAGACTTTCAAGACACAGTCCGATCTTGAAAGAAACGTCACAGCCTATAATTTAAACAACAAATAAAAATGTTCAAAGAGGTTATCAGATTATACTCAATGAACTGCAGGCAATTGAAAGTACGATGCCCAGAACACTCCGGCATGCATAGAGCAATACGTTTTCCTACCTGGCCGAATAACTATTAAGTAGTGTAATCCTTTTGAATGGCGTTAATTCTTTGAAAAACGTGCCCGTCGGTCATTAAGCGTTGAACCAGCAAATATGGAAAAATCTACCATAATGTTACAGTACTAAGAAGAAACTAAATAAGGAACAGAAGTATTGCCTTTTTTTCAGAACATGGCCCCCTCTAAAAAAAATTAAATGGCACCCCAAAATTCTGCCGGGACATGTCCGCAACGCAGCTGAAGGAAAGCCAAGTAACCAAAGCAAGACCTCAATTACCAACAACCTATAGCATAATGTCACATTGCTGAGATATCATTCCTCCTAGACTCTACCACCTCACACGGGCATGCACGGAACACAAAATTCATCGCTGTCACGCCTTAGCCGGTCTGAACAAAAATGTCCACCCTGAGGACATCGACTTGTGAAGAAAATCATCAGGGGATTCTGAACGTACACCTAGAATACTGCTATCCGTTCTCATATATTTTAAGCTGCCCGAACTTCACGTCCCCCTACAAAAAGTGACATCCTCTAAGACAAGCCGTGACTCTATATCTTGGTGAAGGCATCAAATACCCGAACTTCTAATCTGATCCAAATATTACCGTGCTTACAATCTATTTCATAATCTAAATTCTGAGAAAAAAAAAAACGGCTTGTCAGTTATTATATTTCCTCCATGTCGCATGGTTTGCATCATGATGTTTCCTAACCAGATCGCCTGCACACTTTCCCTTGTTGCTATAATTTACAGTAGATGTTCAAAAAAGGTAAAGGTGCATGAGCCCATTGAACAAAAAACACGATGCGAATATCCACAAAATGTCCAAGTGACATTGCTGAAAAATTGCGCATGTTGAAATGCGTTACGTTGGGCGTAATCAGTTAATAACAATCAACAAAGTTTAACGATTGGGCACATCATTTTATACTCTAACAGCATCGTTTGATTTGACTCTGCCTCGTGTAGATTGGTCATGAGAGTCTGACTACCGAAGAAACCAGCTTCACGAACGCGTTATGCGTGAGACTCAGTCTTCTTGTCAGGAAGCTAGATTAATAACCCCCCCCCCCCCACACACACACACACACTTTTTCTGCTGCCGAAAAATTAGGTCATTTGCTATGGGGAGGTTCTACGAAAAGCCTTTTCACCTCCGGTCAGCCGCGCTCGTATCTCTTGATGGACAGCGTAAGCCACTTTCTCCTTTACTCTGCACGCAGACGTACAGTTATAGGCGTCGCTTTTTGGTGTTGGTGAAATGAACAAGCATGGCGAGCGACACCACCGACGATAGAACCCAGTAAGTACAATGGGGACGGAGTTAGGTCACACAATCTCAAGCTCAGTCCGATTTGATTCCTTTCGAAGTTACCCCGGTAACATCTTTTGACCATTTTGGGCATCGTCAAGTCGACTCCTAAATAATCGGCTCAACTAAGGTTCGTAGAAAGACCGGCGTGTAAAACAATTATCAACCAGATGGTGCTCTGTCAGATGGAGCCGATCACGACACCAAGAAATTTGACCTAGCAGGAAAGCACTGCCTCCGCGCAGTGAATGAAGTATGACCGAGAGTTAATCATCATGGCATCCGGCGATATTTCGAACCGGAGGTACGTGACGTGAAACTGCCCTACTGTGGAAAATTCGATTACTTGCCTTTTCGCCAGATGACCTTGCTGATGGGGTATCCCGAGTAAGGACAGTGCAGCAAGAGTTTCCGGCCGGCAACCACGGTGCGGTTTGCCATAGGCTGCACCGTGGGTGGGCCGGCAACGTTCAACCGCGCCGAGTAAGAGTCCTGGCCGTGCTCGTTGGCAGCTTCGCAGCGGTACGTACCACCGTCTTCCAAACGGACTTTGGTGAAGTTGACGAAGCTGATGACCGAGCCGTCCCGGCTGACGTAGTCACCGACGCGAACCTGAACGTTTCATAAAATGCGGAAAGGAATATTATGGGTCACATTTAATAACTGAACATGCTCTGGAGCACCCCAATGAGTTCTACTCCGTTTTAATTCAAGTCCAACTGCAGCCGACGCAGGGACCCGATGAAGCTAATCCAGTAGTTCAAAAACTTCATCGTCAATGCGCTCATTGTTTTTTTGGAATTAGCAAGCACGCGTAGAAAAAGATTAGTTGGCAATCATTGGGATTCATCGGATAGCAAAGCCCAGGCATTATTTCTTCCTCACTCCCTGTTCACCGCTTTTATTCGTGTATGGCCCCTTTCCATTTGTTTATCACCGCATTCATATCACTTGTGGAGGGAGCCGCATCTATTGCTTTTACTACATGCAAACATCACAGCCCATGCACCGCTACAACAAAAACCTGGAGCGCAGTACATTCAGTGACGACAGAGCGGCAACTGAGCACGCTGGCATTCCACTGCGCCGTGGCGCCTTTTCCTCTCTGCCTCCGCGCCAGCTGTGCGACGCTCCTTTGACGGAAACTAAAGCGGTCGTTTTGACGAAAACCCGGCGGTGTCTGTCAGTTTGTTAGCGCCGGGGAGAGAGAGGTAGGTAGAGCCTGACGCTTGTGACGTCAGCGCATCAGACCAATTGGAGCGTCACAGGCGTCACCCTCCTCTCTAATTCTCCGTCTCTCCCCGGCGCTGACTGACAGATTTTCCGCCCTTTCGTCAAAACGAGCGTTCAAATGCTAACGCATTAAAAAACATGCAAGATCGCAGCGCAATCACTGAGCGTAATTGGTTTAGTTGGTGATAGTAAATGTACAAAACAATTAGCGCCGTGACAATACACTTCTTGCGCTGTTTGATTGGTTCCATCAGATCGTAGCTTCGGCCGCAATCAAACTGAAAGTGAAGCATACAATGACTTTACTAAATTATTACTACCGGTATTTATTTTAGTACAATTAGTTAATTTCACCCTTACACATCATTGTGCATAAAATTAAAAAAGCCATTCCTAGTTATCCGCTCCACTAACTGAGACGAAAGGACCCTGACATATTACCCTTCCCTTGTCCTAATGTGAGCATCGAACAGCACTAACATGTTTTAGCCTATCTTTTTTTGACTGCATTAAAATAAGTTTTAGTCATACTCCATGACTCCGCATGTCCTCCTTTTGGGATCCTGTTTCTGAAATCTTTACACAATAAATTACATTTACTCTAGTTTGTTTCACGTTATGTACCAGCGAAGTCGAAGCTACAAGCACGAGCATATGTTTCCTTGAGCGATGCTTGCACTGCACAAGGCGATTGCTCGACAGGGAAGCTGAGAGCCCAGAGTTCACTCTTGTAGCTGCTGCTACACTCGCACTTTAAGTGAAACAGAGTAATCGGTATCTCAACGTAAAAAGCTCTAACTTTTTGCAAAAGTATATTACGAGTTCTTTTCACATCGTGAAGTTCCCATGCTCTTAAGTGATGCACGGAAGGCGCATTTAAATGCTAGATTTCGGGCAAGGGTCGATAGTCTGATGGAACCTTCCAACCTAACACAGTCATACGCGTACCTGGCCAGAGTCGTGCACCTGGACGTCATAAACGGACCACGTGATCTGAGGCAGGGGAGTTCCAGTGGCGGCACAACGAAGGGACACCGGCTCTTCTCGGCGTACCACGGACTCCTCGAAGTGTGACACCAAAACCGGGGGCTCCGCTGCATTCACACATGCACAGGCACGTTTAGGACGGTGTCAATTTCAGCTGGAGCGTTCTCCAGAAGTGCGCTTAAAATTGCCCAGGTGTGTTGCTTGCTTCTTTCATTGAACTCCGAAGAAAGAACTTCAGCATGCAAATTGCAACGTGAACTTCATCCATATAACGGAGCATAACAATATGGCACTTGAACTTGGCAGTGTAATGTGTCCCAATTTGGATTGAATAGCGTTGGGTTAGTGTTTTTATAGGGCAACCGTAGTTTTCGAAAGCGTGCTGAATATGACCGGCTTCATGTTTTGCAGTTTCTGATTTGAGCTACATCACAAAGTACCCACTTTTCAAGCGTTTACTTCCTGTCTTTCGTGGACGGAACCCTCTTTACTTTCGTTGATAAACCCACATAGGCACTTGAGAGAAAAAAAAAAACAAAAAAACACAGGAACATGCCCAAGACACATTTCATTTGGACCGCACTGCTTCCTGGTTTATAGCTGGTTTCCGAAGAGGGGATTACCATATCCCGCAAGACAAAAATACATGGTGTTTTATTTTCTTTGTTCTTGTATTACTGCTTTTTTTCGTCTGGTTTGTAAAACTTCATTTTGAGGACGCTCTTCTATTTCGACGCGCGTCACAAACCACTTATATTTCGTTAATTGCAAACCGAAACTTCAAAAAAAAAACGTAAAACGATGCAAAACACTATACTTGTAAGTATCACGATGAGATGAATGATTATGTAAAATAGTAAGTGGCTTGTTAAAAAATGCAAAAAAAATACTTCTTCGGTGCGTCTCTCTTTTTTGTTCATTCCTCTTTTGTTTTATTTCGATAGAGCTAATTTCATTTATCTTTTTATGAGGACGTGCCCGTTTATTATGACAGAAAGACACAAGGCGTCATGTTGAACTTACATCGGGGTCTGCATGATCGTAAAAACACTGGATGTGGCGAAACAAAAACAACTCGGGAAGGGCGGCGATATGACTTTCGCGACAATCATTTTGCGCATTTTGACGCGAGAGTGTAATAGGTTGTCCTATAGGCTCTTAAATGTCCTCTTTAGTCTTTTGTTTGTTTGTTTGTTTTTTTTTATTTTTGTTTGGCAAGATTTTTGTTTTTTTTTTAGATGTGACATTTTGTTTACGCTCAGGCGGCAGTCGGAAATTCAACACCCAGCGCACGGAATTGCAGAGCCAGCGGTCGGCCTACGCAGTAAACCCCCTTTTGACCAGAGTGATCCGACACTCACACTTGACTCGCACGTAGGCGTGCCCTTGAGCCGAGTCCCTCTCGTTGCCGGCGAAGCACTGGTACAGGCCGGAGTCCTGACTCTGTGCCGCCTGAATCCTCAGCGCGTACCGGTTGAGTAGCACGAGACGTCGGAGCGCGGGCCCCGCGCTCACGGGCCGGCTATCCTTGGTCCAGGTGACGCTTCGCACGGGAAAACCGCTCACGCTGCAGTTCAGAGTCACTGTCTCGCCGGAGCGGACCTCCTGCACTCGGGGTCGCATCTCCACTTCCAGGGGCTCTGCGGCGAAAGAAAGTTGAAACGTCAGAAAACATAACACAACCCAACTATTCTAACCTAACCAATCCTAACCTATCAAGAACTAACTTAAACTAAGCTAACATAACCTAACCTAGCCCGAACTGAGCGAAGCCAACCTAGCAGAAAATGAACGAACCCAACCTAGCAGAAACTTACCTAAACGAAGCTAACCTCACCTCACCCGGCCTCATGTAATTGAACCTAAGCCACCAGAGACTAACTTAATTCCAGCCTGACCTAAACTAACTTAACCTCACCTAACCTAACAGAAACTAGCCTAAACCAACTAAACACATTGTAAACTAACCCAGCCTTGCCTGACTTTGCCTCGCCTAACCAAAGCTACATCAATCCAACTTAACCCAACAATATAACCTAAGCTATCAACCTCACCTATCCTAACCTGAGCTAACCTAACCTAAAAAAAACTAACCTACGCTAAGGTAACATAGCCTAACTTGAACTAAGCTGACCTGACGTAGCCTAACCGGACCTTAGAGTAACTGGGATAACCCCAAAAGGGAATAACCTCAGTGCCTCCCTTGTCTTGCCCGACATGGTCAATCTACTATGATGTATAGGGTAATTTTGTTGTCCAGTCCTCCCGTGCAAACAAAGAATGCGCAAAAACATTATTGTAAAGTGCTCTAGTAAAAACAAATGTTAAAATAAAATAGCCTAGACTTAGCTGGTTTATATATTACGTGGTTTGGTGGGAGACCGACCGCACAAACAATTATCAACATTTTGTATAACGAAATTACCTTGGCGAACGCCATTACACTCAAGCAAACACTAATATTGTACTTCGATAACTCAAAAAGTATAATTATGAAATATTTTGAGTATACCGCAATATACTTTCGGATTCCGAAGTAGACGTTAAAATATAATTCTAGATTTATTTCCGCTTTTGAAATGTCTCGCACGAGCTTCGACACCGTCCGGTAAGGGGGGTGTACACTCCAAAAATGTATAATTTCACCTACCATTAGTATTCCAGAACTATAGATAAAGTGTTACATCCATTAGATATTTATTTTTCTGAAAAAAAAAAATTGGTATATTTCTTGTATATCGCTTTCTGCCGAGAATCGATGACGTCAACTCAGCGTTTCTTTTTTTCCCCAAACCTCTGGGGCAGTAGCAAAATTTCGTTTCTCTCATCAAGTTCCTGTCCGAAAGAAACCAATAAATTCACTTTGTTTTCTTTTCAACCAAGTACGTGCAGGAAGCATAACTCCGTACTTTCAGACTTTGTTTTCTTGTATACTGTTAGGAGCCTAGAATTGTGAACGCTCTAAATATACACGAGTAAAACATTTTTTCTCTGTATAAAAACAAACAATTCGCTCACGTCAAGTGTTCATAGCACGATGGCTTGGCCATCAGCTTCGCGGGAGGTGAGCTAACCTGTACGCATGCCTGTGCCGTAAGCAGCGCCTTCGCTGCGATAATTGGTTGTTTCCGCTTTTTTACCGGCTCAGACGTTCCCAGATATCATATTATACTCGTAAAAGAGAACTTGTTCAGCACGTAACCCTATCACCTTCAAGATCTATCACATTTGCTAGTTTTTTTATGGCTCGTTTTTATTTTATTTATCTTTTATTCCGTGTGTAATGAGCAAGCTTTTTATAGAAACCCAGCGTAGCCTGTCTCCCACCTCAAAAATGAAAGTAGACTCAAAAATATGGTCTGTAAAAGTCATGACGTTCGCATATCAAGCCGTAACCTTTCTCGGAGGCGTAATTTACTAGTTTAATGAACATACTAAAATCCCAATTCTCTAGACCAAGTAGAACTAAAATGATGATTCAAAAACTAAAATGTCCGATGGTGGAGCGCCAGCTGTTGGAAGGATATGGAACGACGGCCGTGTTCTCCCAGCTTGTTCAGAGATGGCGCCCCCAATTCCGTCAAGGCGCGCAGTGGGAGCAGGGTTTTTGCTGGGTGACGAACTTCTCACATAATTCTCTTCCAAGCGCGCGTTTCAGTTCGCGTTTCCAATATCGGCGAAACGCCAGCTGAAATTCAATTTCCAGAGCGTGTTTCCAGAACGCTGAGCGTCACGAAACAAATAATGATGAATAATTACCGTAATTATTACTTTACAGATCATTTGAACGTATTAACAATTGTTTCTGGCTCTTTGCATATGATTTTGCAGTTTGGTTTGTCTCAAGAAACACAAGAAGCGTATTTTCACCGCCATTAGTGACGGCAAGCGCCCCGAGCGCCTCGCCCACCTGCACTCAAGGAGGTTACAATGACCAGGAGGTGGCGTCTGTATTCTCCATACATAGAGCGAAGTGTAACGGAAGTAGGCGCGGCTACGAAATGTGCCCTCAGTCTCTTGGCTAATGAGACGATCCATTTCCTGTGCTTTTCTTTTCTAAGTTCCCCACCTTTTACCACAGTCTCAGGTAATTTTCATCATAAAAACTCAGTGAACGAAAACTGCCATAAAAATATGGGGCAAACATCTGCGTTGTAACGGCATTGCCGTGGCCACGCGGTTGTTTTCGCCATGGTGTCCACCGAATCGGCGTCGGACAGGTGAGATTTGGAGCCCAACACATGCCTGAACAGTAGGAAGTCGGCGTGTGACGGACGTTTTTGACACTGCGCCGGGAGCGTCGTCTAGAACGAGTCGAAAAATGAAAACCGTTTACAATTCCCTGTAAACCGGATTAGAGCGCAGCTCTTGAGGAGGAGGATGGAAGCGTCTGAGGCATAGGTGACTCCTTGAGGTCACGTGACCTCAGGGGGGGGGCGGTCGTGTGACGTCAGGGGGATCACGTGACCTCGGGGGGTCGCATGACCTCAGGGGGGTCACGTGACCTTACGGTTACGTCGACTGCGACGGCGACGCCGCTCAAGCCGCAAACGGGCGCCTAAGAGCTGCGCTCTAAAAGCGCGGCTTTGGAAAGTCAAAGTGTCATTCGTCGTACGCCCGACCGCTGAGAATGGCACCGCGGGTTGAGAAAGCCGTGCAAGTCGTGATTCCAGTAGTTGTTCGTTTCCCTCCGCCGTGATGAGAATGCGGTTTCGCATCGAGACTTCTCTTGATGCGACGATTGTATCGAAAGCCAGCCGCGACAGCCCGCGGACGAAGCAGACCGCAGGCATGGAGCAGACGTAGACATAAGCCTAACGCAGTCGACCGAGCGGAGAGCGGACGATGGGAGCTTGGATGAGAGCGCGTCGGTGCGCAAGACAGTATGGGATTGAGTTCTTTTTCCGGCGTCGCTGGTCATGACGACATGCCAGGTCCTGCCCTATTCACACGTCCTTGCGTACCAACGAGGTAAGGTGCCTTAGAGCAATAAACTGTTTTGTTTATCGCTCTAAGGCGTCATGTTTCACAATTTTTACCACTAGGCACACGTGACCTTAAAGTTTTACGTCTATATTTTAACGAAATGTCGCGCCCAAATAATTACTTATTCGTCTTTGATAACAGTACCGACGAGATAATTTGTTTCATTTGTTTTCAAATCCAAAATGTGCTTTTACGACAAAAACTTTGGAAGCTTCGCAATGCCTCCGCTTGATGCCGTCAACCTCGGTGCTGTATTTTGGGTTTTCATCGCAGTTAGACACCCATTTTTGGGACTAACAGTAATGAAAAAACAGTTTATGATGTTTTTATTTATTCAATCGCAATACAAATCAACACCTCATTTCTGCTTAAGAGCCTGAGTTTGGTATGGTCACGTGTGTAGTGGTCTAAATTGTACAACTAGGCGGCAGCCAAACGGGGGTAACTTTTGCCTGGTGAACGGGATAACAGCTTATTGCTCTAAGTCCCTCTACCTCGTTGTTGCCTGCGCTGGATGGATGGATGGACGGATAAATGAATGAGACTGAACCCTTTGGATCGGGCGGCTGCTTGCGCCACCTAGCCAGTGTTTTCACTGATATTTATTTAACATAGAGTTATATATTTATAGATTTATTCCTAAAAGGTATATACGGCCCGTACGACGGAAGCGCCTCTATAAAACTGGGTGCACATACCTTCAGCCCTATGGTTAGCCCAAGAAGGGTAATAATAAAATATTCATCCTTCCCTTCACCTTCGCCACTAGTCAGATAATCTCTTCTTGGTTATCTACACATTCCCCGTGTCTATTTTTTCCTTGCTATCCCTAAATTCCAGTGCGTTTCCTGGCATTGGTGGCTCCATCTCTGAATACGCTGGGCAAATACGGCCATCGTTCGATCTCCCTCCGACAGCTGCCGCTCAACCATTGAAGAAATTAGTGTTTTTATTATCGGTTTAGCTCTATTGGGAGTAGAAAATTGAAATTTTAATATGTTAAATTGACCAGTCAACGACGTATCTGAGAAACGTTAGAGCCTGATACGTTGACTGTGTGGTTTTACGGGCCATTTTCTTGTTTACATTTTAAGGTGACACGCTGTGTTTTACTGATTTCAAGATATTAGCTCTCTTTTTATTTATTAGATTGTCACCAAATGCTAAATATATATTTCTGGCGACAAACAAAGTGTTTTAATATTATTTTTGGAATATTGACAAGCACACGAATATAGAAAATATTGTGAATATCTTAAATACTTTTCCGAGCAGTATGCATTAAGTCCATGTTTCGTACTGGAAATAAGATCCATATTCAATTTTTTTTTATGTTTCCAATGTTGGCAAAATACTTCTTGGATTAAACATTAGAACCTCTCTGCCTTTACATGGCTGAAAGTAGAACCTCTGACTTTACGCTTGGCACTAACAGAGTCACTGAATGTTTCTAGAGCATACCTCGGCAAACCTCACTCATGAGGGCCCTCACTCACCCTCACTCACCCTCATCTTCACAGGTGAGGTGAGGGTGAGTGAGTTTCTGAACCAGGAAAATTCATGAGTGTGAGGGTGAGTGAGGGCCGTGAGGGCTGTGAGGGCCGTGAGGGCTGTGAGGGCGGTGAGGGCCGTGAGGGCCGTGAGGGCGGTGAGG